TATTTGTTTTTGTTTGCAATTTACGTAGTTTGTTTTGTTTCGGGTTTCTTTGAGTTCGCTTTTTTAAATGTAAACATGAACAACGATTGGCCTGCTGATGATGCTGAAATCGATCTGGCATTAAATGATGAGGCCCTGGGCAAGCTACTTGATACACCAACTAAATCAGAGCCAAAAGGTATATCCGAATGCGCTGGCTTCGATGAGAGCGCGGGTAACAATTGGCTTTACCCGAGCAATTTGCCGCTTCGCTCGTATCAGCACAGCATTGTGCAGGCGGCACTTTATCGCAACACGCTGGTTGTGCTGCCTACTGGACTGGGAAAAACCTTCATTGCTGCGGTTGTGATGTACAATTTGCATCGATGGTATCCGGAGAGCAAATTAATTTTCATGGCACCAACTCGTCCGCTGGTGGCTCAGCAGATCGCCGCGTGCCAAAAGATAATGCCATTTTGCCCGGAGGACACAGTGGAGCTGACTGGACGTCTGCCGCGTGCCAAGCGCGCGGAATTGTGGGCGACCAAGCGCGTCTTCTTTGCCACGCCCCAAGTGGTGCAATCGGATATGCTAGACTCGGGTGATGGATTGCAATTCCCCTACATGTCCATCAAATTGCTCGTTGTGGACGAAGCGCACAGGGCCAAGGGACGATATGCATACACGCAGGTTCAATAGTCAAGCAGCTTATCATATTTACATTAATAAAATGCAAAACGATTCAAACAGGTAACGGACTCGCTTATGGCTCGCAATCCTTACTTCCGCATGCTTGCTCTGTCTGCAACACCAGGACGCACCATGGAGGATGTGGCTGCTGTCTGCCGCAATCTGTGCATCTCCCATCTCGAAGTGCGCTGGGATGACTCCATAGACGTGCGGCAGTATGTGCACAAGCGCAGCATGCGCACAATTGTGGTGCCTCTCAATGATCGAATCAAGGAGCCGCGTGCGCAGCTTCTGCAAATCATCGATCCTTATCTGCGTCAGCTGATTACAGCAAATGTCCTTAAGGGAGCTCGTGGCAATATTTCGCGCAACAATCTGCTCTTCGACCAGAGCCGCTATCAGGAGCACGTATCGCGGGGTGAACGTCATCCGGAGCACAGCTTGATTGTCAGCAACTTTGCCATGTGCATTAGTTTGTATCACGCGCTGGAGTTGCTCGAGCGCCATGGCCTGCGCGTCTTTGTGAATAACTTTGATGCGGATGAGAACGGAAGGGATAAGTTTGTACTAAAGGATGCTGCGCTCAGGGAGCTGGTGGAGAAGGTCCGCCAAGAGCTAGGTGATAATCCGCTAGAGCACTCCACGCACACCATGACCAATGGGCAGGTGGCGCCGCTTCCTGCTAGCCTGGACTTTGGCCATCCCAAGTACGAGCAGGCCAGACAAGTGCTGTTAACGCATTTCGAGGTGGTTTCCATTGTCTATTGCCGATTGTCTACATTATTGACTAACGATGTCTTATTTCAGTCCCATCCAGATTCGCGTGCGATCGTCTTCTGCGAGTATCGTGAGTCCGTGATGCTGATTCAACGTTTACTGCTGCAGCATAGGCCGGTGCTACGTCCGCGCTGCTTCGTGGGCCAGAGCTCAGGAGCCAATGGAATTTGCGCCTTAACCCAAAAGGAGCAGCTGCAAATCATGTCGGACTTTCGCCAAGGCGTAAGCAACGTGCTGGTGGCCACGTCCATCGGCGAGGAGGGCCTGGATGTGGGCGAAGTGGAGCTGATTGTGTGCTTCGACATCTGCAGCTCGAACCCGACACGATTCGTGCAGCGCATCGGGCGCACAGGCAGGCAAAAGAAGGGCGATGTTGTCATGCTGGTCACGGACGGACGAGAGCAGCAGCTGCTCAAGGAAATGCTGGCCAACAAGGATCAAATGAATCGTAAGCTGCTGCAGTCGACGTTGGTCAAGAGCGCTTTGTACCAGCACTCGCCACGCCTCGTGCCGCCTCAATTTCATCCGCGGTGTGAACAGCGTCTCATGGAATCCATTAAGCCCAAGCCGCAGACACCTTCGCCCAAAGGAAAGGGACGCAGGCCGCCCGCACAGCCGACAGTTAAATGCCACGATCTGCGCAGGTATTTCCCGCAGACCCAAGACAAATTTCTGCAGGGGGAACCCACCTACAAAGTGAGCGAGGCCTCACAGCGGCTGCTGCAGGAGCAGGCGGCGCGGCAGAGCGTGCCGATAAGGAGCTTTCTGCTGGACACACAGGAGAACAATGAACCGATTGAGGCAACTCCTCCATTGACAGCTAGCAGCAGCAGCAGCAGCAGTCAGGAGCAGCTGCAGCGGCTGCGTAGGATGACGCGACTGCTGCAGGCAGCAAAACCTTTGGTCAGCGACTCGCAACGCAACCAGGATCTGGTGGCACAGTTGCAGGACAAGCAGCTTCCCACTGCTCTCAAGTTCTACCTTATCGAACGCAACGCACACTTTGTGCGGGACATACATGCCAAGATGCTAGAGCAACTGCAGCGTGAGTTGCCGGCAGCGCGCCTGAACTCCAGGCAACAGCGGACGCGAAAGATCTACGAGCTGCTGCAGTCGGTTTGCGGCGAGCACTTGGAACGACTCTTGGAGCAAGCCGAATCCAGCTGTGCAGAGCTCACGCTGAAGGATTTGCTGCAGCCCATGGATGAGCAACCTGTCTTCGAAAGAGTGTGCGCGGACATATTTGAGGGCCTGCAGGAGACGGGCATCTGTGCGGATAACCATGAGATGCTGCAGCAGCAGTGGGAGCAGCTGGAGCTGCGCCGCCTGGAGCAGACCATGAAAGAGCAGCTGGATAATGAGGCGACTAGTCTGTACGAGGACTGGCAGGACGAGGATACAGCCGAAGACGATTGCCTGCCCACAACTGAGGTCTCCACCTCTGTATATGAAAGCCAATGGGCGGAGGCAGCACGGCGCAGCTCCACGCCCTTACATGTGCGGCGGCTGCCACTCGACAAAGACTCCGCCGTAAACTCCACCCAGCTGAGCACCAACCTGAGCCGGCTCAATTGCCTGATGAGCGCGGCAAGCACGCCACTACAGAAGAATAAACAAAATAAGTCCTTGCTGGACGAGCTGGATGAAGATCTCTCGACCTTCGATCAGCTGGCCGAGCAGCAGGAGGCAGTTGCAGTTGAGGCCACGCCGGAAGCACTCGATCTGGACCTCAATGATTTCCTAGAGCCGCTGCCCGAGGAGCAGCTGCTGCAGCAGAAGGAGAGTCAGCTGGACCAAAGCGTTGGCTTTAAAGAGAATCAACCTGAGGCTCTCGACGAGCAGAAGACGAGTCCAGCTAAGGAAATGCCGCCAGAGGCTGTATCGCCGCCGCGCAACTTTTCGCCTGACATCTTTGCAGAGGATTCCCTATCGCCCTGGAAGCCAACAACAACTGCTCCAGCTATGAGCTTAGCCGCCAAATTGGCAGCCAAATCCACCTCTACGGCGTTAACTGCGCCGGCTAAGCGTACGCCGGAACGTGTGCCCGCCCCGCCCTCTGCTCAGCTCAAGTCTCCAAGTATTTTCGAGAATTATCTGCGTCGCATGCGAGGCCGTGGCCAGTTGTCCAAAGAGGCGCAGCGCATACACAGCATGACCAGCATGACCAGCATGGCAGCTGCTAAGCCACCTGAGCTAGAAGAGGACTCACCAATCGTGCGACGTCGACCTGGGAAGCGCAAGATCTATGACATATCCGATGAGGACAAGGCGGAGGTAACGCAGATCCTGGAGGACAGCTTGCAGGAGGTGCCTGCTACACAGCTGGTAAGTGCAGCAGTCTCTTAGCTTATTCTCGGACTCATTCAGTAATTGCATTGCAGCCAGAGCTACGAACGCCTCCGCGTCGCAAACGCGCCAATTTCAACGAATTCGTTCTGCAGGAGGCAGACCAAAGCGGATCCGATCACGAAGAGGACGAGGAAGCGGAACGCAGCTATGGTGCCTATCTAAAAGACTCGGTCATAGTCTCCAGCGACGATGAGGGACACAATGACACCACCACGCATGCCATGTACCTGCAGGGCATCAGGTGGGTTTGCCACTCCACTTCTCCACTGAATAAGCATTAACTAAATTCCTTCATGTCACCTTCTCTGATAGGAGTCCTGTGCATCGTCCTGGCGCCTTTAAGATACCAGCGCCGCGCCGGTTCGATGATGAGTTCATCTACTCGCAGCCTGTGGACCTTGAGCCTTCGCAATATTTGCCCAGCTCGTTTGTAGTGAATGATGACAGCGCCGTCAAAGAGGATTCGCACAATGTATCCGAGTGTCCGTTGGAGCGTGCCGAGCGCATACTCAAGGAGCAGCGACGCCAGCGACGGCGACAACGTGAAGGCGGAGGAGTCCCTGAGCCAGCAACTGCAGCTGCGAGAAGCAAACGACGACGCATCCAAACCCTCAGCGATTCCAGTGAAGAGGACGATGTGATCTTTTTGAACTGACTGACCCACTGATGGAGCTGTGCTTTGTCCTCAGTGCCATGTTCCCTGACTACTCTCATACCCTCCTAATAATTTAGTTTTCGTTTGTGATTTAACGCATAAGTTGAAGTACTTTATTTTAATTGTTTTATAATACTTTGGTTTGTTGTAGTTTACGGTTATTGTGCCAGTTGCCATTTAGCTTGAAAGAGAGCAAAATACGAGTTACATACGATTAGTTTTAAGTCTTGTGCAAAAGTACCTCAATCAAATCTGAAAATGTTCCATGTATAGATATTATGATTGCTCATATGTGCATATGTAGTATAAAAATAGTTATGTTTTATACAAATTTTGTAAATGCAGTGTGTTTTTATTGGTGCTATCTATTTCTTCTAGCTTCAAGATTTATAGCAGAGTAAATCTTGGAAATTATTGCAACTAATTTTGGTTGGAGACTCAAATTAATTAAAAAAGCTTTCTACATTTGTTAGAGCTATTTAAAATGGATACGGTCTAGCGGTGTCAAGTTGCGAGGTGCCTGATATGGTATTTGATAAGCTCACCTGTTTCTACACCAAGTAGCTTCTCGTGGGCGTCTGGTAGTCGCTGGCTATGGGCTTGAAGGTCGTGTTATGGCGCTGCTTGTACAGATCCCTGGGCTGGACGTACAGTTCCTTAAAGTCCTCGCTGCTCACATGCCGGCTCGATGACTGGCCCAGGCAGGTGCCCGCGCCCTGGCCACGGAGCTGCACCTCCGACTCGTAGATGTTGTCAACTAAGGCCTGGCGTGATTTGGCCGTGGGGCGTCTTCTGCCCTTCTGGCTGAAGGTCTGTGAGGATAGAGAGCTGTCGAGTCTGGCCTTCCGCGAAGCAATGCCCGTGCAGGTGAGTATGATGCCCAGCAGAACACTGAACTCCACCAAGGCCAGGACCAAGCTGGCAGCTAGAAATATGCCGTACTGCTCCCGATACCAACTGTCCAGATGCACCAGACAGGACTCGGTGTAGCGCTCCCGCTCGTACACAGAGCGCTCCAGTGCCTGGCACTGCGTCTCGTTGGCGGGCTTGGGGTCGAGGAAGGCCAATGGCTGTGGTGCATTGGCCAGAACGCAGCAGCTCAGGGGCACTGGCCAATTGCGTTGGCCATAGCTCTGGAGGCGCCACAGCGAGGTGTCGTAGTCGAGCGAACTGCGCATGCCGCAGCAGCCGAAGCGGGTCTGGGCCAGGTCCATGGCATTGGTGAACTGCTCCTGGCCGGGCACGCCGTAATTGCGCTGCAATGCCTTCACCATCTGCCCCTCGTCCAGGCTAATGCCCAGGCAGTGCGGCCAGAGGGTGATGGCCAAGCAGATGATCGACTCGGCCAAGAGCAGCACCACCACGCTCAAAAAGTAGACACTCAGGAAGCAATAGGTGTGCAGGCAGCTGGCCCAGAAGCCCAGCACGGAGGCCAGCACGGCCACAAATCCGGCTACGGCCAGGCCCAAGGCAATGTAGTAGAGCAGCGGCTGGGGCAGCGAACTGAGCTGCTCGCTGGGCGCGGCCAGAAGGCGGGAGAGCAGAATGCGCTTGTTGTCCGTATAGAGATAGCAGCCAGCCACAATCAGCAGCGTGCCACAGAGCTAGAGAGAGAGAGAGAGAGAGAGAGAACGAGTGTGTGAGAACGAGAGGGAGAGATGGAGTAACGAGAGGCAATTCATATTGTTATTATTTCGAGTTGTGTGAAAAGCTTGAGGTCTGCGCTCACGCAACGGAAGTTGGAGCTCGTTGGATCCATTACAACCTCCTCTCCGCCCACAAATTAGTTATTACCTGTTTTCAAATACCCTGTAATCAGTACATACTAGCCCAAAGGTGTATTATTTTACGAGATTAAGAGTTGAACTGATTATAAGGTTGTTATGTGCATATAGAAGGTGAAAGAATAGAAACATACTTGTAAGAAAAGTTATATTACCCAATAATCAATTAGACTTGTTATGAGGTATATTGCTCATATCGTTTATCTTTATGGCTTCAGTGACGTATTTATTTATTCTTTTTACTCGCTCAATTAGTGATAACAATGATTTATCAAATAAGTATTTTCAAGGAAATACTAAAAAATAAAAGCTCAATCAGAGGTATCTCTCGGAATGGAAGACCTTTTAAGCTGATTTTCTGGTGCCAAGCTGCGCCTGCGCCATGTCCGCCTCTTTCACAGCCAAAAAGCGTTGGCGAAAAAACTCTTGGACTGCTCCTCTTCTCTGCCACCCCCACCTCCTCTACCCACCTGTCCAATTGAAATGGCTTTTAATCAGCCAAGCATAGCCAAAATAAAAACAAAGTCGAGCAAATGAAAAATAAACAAATGGAGTAAAGTGCAACAGAGGCGATATGTGTATGCTCTAACAAAATCAAAAGAGTGGTTAGAAGATAAGAGAGAGGTGGACTTCAGATAAGATAAGTGTAACAACTGATCTTTTATCAACTATTTGATAGTTTCTTTGGAAAATCTCTATGTACGGTATGATCGGGAAAGCCAATAATAAATAAAAATGTTTGACTGAGACTCAATTCAAGTAAATCCCAAAGTTGGAACTAATAGAGTTTTTCATTGGCTCAACAGAAAACTCTAGAAGAGCAATTGTAATGAAACCATTTTTAATGTTTTTAAATGAGTTCTGCAAAAAATTGATTTTTAGAATACAGAAACCTCAGATAAATTTTCAAAACAAAAAATCCAAATAATAATAAGCTGTTAAGTTTAGTGGAGAATATTTTTAAATTAAAGTTTTTTTTTTCCTTAATAAGTCTTAATATTCTCTATGATAGAGATTTTCAAAGTAAAATTCACGTTTCATATAACTAAATTTTTAGAATATTTTTAAACAGTTTTCTGTTCTCTTTTAGCACATAATCAATATACCCCTAAGTTCACACCCAACTGAACTGCAACAAATGAAGTTTTACGAGTATAGGGCCTAGATTTCACCCAATACATATACATTATATATAGACCTATGTACACATATCCGCACAAAACTCACCAAAAATAAAAAATTGCAAAAGTTGAGCACAAATTTGTGATTAAAACAGCGCCCCATCTTTGGAGTCGTGTGGGTGTTGCTTAATTAATTAATTAAGTGAATTTGTACACAATTGAGCGGTCAGCGTTGTGGGGCATGTGGCAAGCAAAGCTGGTGGCTGCACATAGACTGTGTTTATCATTTTATGTCATTGCTGCGGCTGTTTCAGCTCTTTAGTTGGACGAAGTACAAAATGTGTAGGATCGAAGATTTTAAATCTTAAACGGCTTTTCTCGCAAGCAAACAAACGACGCGCTTGACGGCAAAACAATGACTGAAGAGCTCAAAACTAGATGCGGCAGCGCAAATGTTGTTGCCCCAACTTGTGGCACGTTGCTCGCGCCTGAATTTCAAGCAGAGCACAGCCAAGCTCCGACGCTCACGTCTCTGTTTTATGATCGGGGGCTCACGTTCTTTCTCTCCCTCTCTCTCTTTCTCTCACTCTCGTATGCTCTCTTTCAGTGCCTGTCATACTCTCCAGCTGCAGTCAAATGGAACCGCTTGTAAACAATAGAGCAACAACAACAATTGCAGTCATGGGAGATGGTCAGAACTCTGCATGGAGGAAAACTTGTTGGACAGGCTTATCTTTCTATAGGCGAGGGCTGCTAATAGAGTCTTTTCGTCTAGTTTAACGAAAAAATGTATAAAGCAAGACACACTAACGTAAAATGTTTATTTAAATAAATAAATAAATGTTAATACGTAATACTATATAGTTAGTAGTGTAGTTTTGTTTTCAATTACTTTTATTTTAAGACAATGTTCATTGCACAAATTGTTTTCGATAAAGTACGGTATAACGTGCGGCGAGAGGGGTTATTGTTGTTGTCAGATATTCCAATGCTAAGATTGTCATTTTAGCTCTTTTCCCGTCAGATCTGGCTTTTTTAGAGCCAGGGCAGCCACGAGCAGTAAGGTAAGTCAGAAATGCAGGAAGAATTTGAAAGCGAAAAGATGCGGCAATTCTAACTTTTTAGAAATTCGGGAATACTTTTTATACCCTGAACCCATTGAAAATGGGAAATCAGGGTATAATGGTTT